GCCCCTTCTCCTTCCTCCCCGGCATGCGCCATATGGTCTTCCCGGTCCAGCCAGGAGCCGGCGACCACGTGACCCGCCTATTTGTATGCCGAGGAGTGCTCCATTCCGGCCCCTTTGTGGCCAGAAGAAAGTGGCCCATCTGTCGCCAGTTAGAGACTCCGCGGACCTGTTTTTACCCGCAGGAGAGATTAACCCTTTCTGGCGGCAACAGGGAGAGGGCGCAGCAGGGCAGGGCTTGCGGGGACAGGAGCGGGAAGCCCCAACCGGGTCCAGACCCAGCCAGCAGCTTGCGTCCAGCAGGAAATCGGGCTGGGCTGAAAGCGGCACAAGCAGGGAAACTGAGGCACGCAGTGGAGAGGCTTCCCCCTGGCACTTGCCTTCCTCAGCGGCCCGCGTCTTGACTTCGGGCCTCTTGGCAGACACTCGAAGATTGGCGCCAAAGAATGGCCTCCAACTCTGGTCAGGGGGCTCCCGGCCTCCCCAAGTGATAGGTGCTCCCAGAACCCTGCTCCCCACTTACTTCGACCCTGGCTAGTGCTATCCCTGCAGATCCTCACCGCGCTCACCCTCCTCCCCCAGGACTGTGCTCACAGCCATCTCCTTCACCCACCCGGTAAGCCCGGGCCTCCTCGGCCTTGGCGATATTTGTGAGGCCAACGGGCCCGGCCTTCTAGTGGAGGCCATGGACCGCGGCAAAAGAGTGATCTTTGTCCAGCCAGCTCGGGGCTCGGATCAGGAGCTCGACATTGACCCTGTCACAACTTGGCATCGCCTTGGGTCCCCATCTTGGAGGGCCGGACAAGCCTTCTCAAAGGGAGGCCACCAAGGCCTGTGTTGAACAGGTCTTTTTTCTGTCCTTCTAAAAAGCTCATTAGCCTAACTCTTGTCCAGGCCTCTGGGCCTCTGCTCAAGGTGTCTGACTAGATGCTGCCCCAACTTGCAGGTACCTTAGAAGACTACAGAGCTGAAAAGGCCATGTCTGTTCCTAAATAGTGAGTAGGGCAGGTTCCAGAAAGATACTTTTTCTGAAACAGAGACAGAGGACGGAAAGACAGAAGGAAGGAAAAATGTAAAGCACTGGGTTGAGTCCTTCACCGTGTATTCTTTTTCACCCAGCGTTTCTTCTAACCGTTCTTTTTCACTTCCTACCTTCTACCAGATCTGAAGCCCTCCCTACTTGAATTGCTTATCTCAAGGCAATTGCCTGAAAGGCCCCGGGAGTTTGCAGTGTCTGGACTGTGGCAGGAGGGGGACCCCTGAGAGGGGATGGACTTGGAGCAACGGAGTTGGAAGATCACGGGTGTCTGGAAGGTGGCCATCTAACAAATCCAGAGGAAGGAAGGAGTTGTTCGCACGAATCTCTCGGGTTCCAGAGCAGAACTCGGCTGACCTTTGCTTTTCTGTGTCCACCAGTGGGCTGGTTGAGAGCACAGGAAAAGGAAAAGGGATTCACCAAGAGGCAGGGCTCCAGAGTTTACTCCAGTAAGGTCAGAGTCACAGTCCTACAACCCGCAGTCCACACCTGGAGGTCTGGTGATGTCTCCTGTAGGCCCGGAAATTCTATCGCTTTGGGGGCAGGGGTCGCAAGACCAGCGTTTCGGGCCTTGGGGATGCAGAGCTCCTGCCTTGGCCCACCCACTTTGCTCTGGGGCAGATACTCGGGGACGGGTGGGAGAGGGTCTCCAGGGGCCCCAGGGCCCGGAAAGGCCTGGAGAGAGCTCTGTGCTAAGAGCCCACCCACTTCCCAGAGTTAGGCGTCCTGCGGAATGAAGGGGTCCTGGAGGTGGACGCCAGGGGTATCTCAGTAGACCAGACTCATGCGCAGGAAATGAGGGAAGTGTGAGAACGGTTCTCTTTCTCTCCCGTGGTACAACCTCCTCTAATCCTACTACTTGTCCTTGCGTAAGGCCTGGGGATTTGGATAAAGGACGAGTCTTTCCCACGTCCAGAGATCTGGCTGGTTCGGCCTCGAGGTGACCGTTCTTGAGCTTCCCTGTGCACAGCGGTCCAACGGCAAGGGTCCGCAGAGCCCCGGGGAGGCTGCCGTCGGACGGTGAGTACCGAGGCCAGGAGAGAAGAGGCCAGAATGCGCCGGATGGAGGACGTTTTGGCGGGGGAGCGGGCAAGACGCCTGAAGAGGACCTGGGAGGGAGCTGGACGGTTGCACACGCCCCTCCTGCCCCCGCCCAAGCTGCCCGCT